AGGTTGGTGGTTAAAACCTATCAGCTGCTCCATGGAAGGAAGATGAGGCAATCTACTTCCTAAAGAGTGATTGCCTTGGAAACCCAAAGGGGGTTGCTGTGAATTATAACCAACTCAATGGTAGTTTTTTTTTTTTTTTTTTTTTGGTAAAGGGAAGGGCTGGGCTGCGCACAGAACTCAGGTTTTTGGGATTCCTTGGTTCATATGATGATGCCGCATCTCAAGATACAGAATGACTTTGACATGCTTCTATGAAGGAGACTCACATCACTTTTTCAGAGAGGCTCAATCTTCAGTAGATGATTACTATGCATGCAGAGGGCTGGACCTGAACACAGGCATAGCGACTTCATTTGCTGCAACATCGTGGGCCTGGGTCTCCCTGGGTGGATGGTCCCATTTATGGCTCCTCAAATCTCTAAGGACAGTTAGTGAAGGGTGGTGCTAGGGAATAGGCAGGGATTGAAGAACTGGATCTGAATTTTCTACCCAGTTCCTTCTGGGGCCCAAGTGAGGATAGAATTGCCCAAGGTAGAATCACTGCTGTTCAGTTTGGAAAGCCCAGGAAAAGGAAGTTTTTTGCTACCTCATGGGTCATTGTCCTGCTCTGATCCCACCCACCACATACCTTGAACCTCTGTGGTTAGTGGCACCCCTAGGTCTAGAACTCAGGATTCCTGGTACCCAGAACATACTCCTTTTTAAGCAGGGTTGGGATAGAGTCCAGGGAGCCTGACAGATGGGAAGAAAGCAGGAGGTGAAGGCAGATAAAGGTCCAAAGAGGCTGGTGAGCTCAGGGATTTAGTAGCAGGAGGAATGTGCCTGATCCCTTTCCTCATAATTTCCAATCCTCCCCCCCCCCCATCTCAGATATGTACAAGAGGGAGCGTCAGTACACATGTTCCTTCACCACATAGTCACAAAACACAGTGTATGTGGCCCAGTGCTAGTGCTGGGGTCACTGAGACGATGCATCCCTGTGGTAAGTTAAATGCTTTGATGAATAAACTTTGGACGGAGAGTGTCACCTGGATCGAGAAACTGATCAGGGGTTCAGGAAGGCTTGGAACTGTAAAACTGTAGACTCTGATAACACTGGTTGAGCTTTCCTAGATTAGAGTTGTTGGCCCCACAACTGCCCCCCAAGTGTGTGTTGTGGGGATGAGGGTGGCAGATGGTAGGATTAGGAGGATTCTGTTTCAAAGGGTTGAAGGGGTTAGTTACAGAATGACAGAAAGTCCTAGGAGATCAGAAAATGACCTGTCTTCTAATCAGGAATTATGGGTGCAGGTACCAACCAGGGCCCCACAGTGTTTGATTCCTTGTTCTAGAGTACCCTAGAAAGACAAGCATAGACCCTGGGGTTTTAGATGCCACAGCCAGTGATGGTGCTTCCTTCCATGTGTGCCCCTGCCCTTCAGGCCACTGGGGGCAGCTGCAGCCTGTGGACACAGGGACTGGCCTCTAAACTGGCAGAGGAAGGGGTGCTGGTAAGGGTTTTACCTCATAAGAGTTTAGCCTGGGGGCAGGGTGGGGCCCTCCCAGCTCCCAGTATGGTCATGATCGCTCAGAAGTCCGGGTCCTGCTCCTAGAGTAAAGGAGGCCAGCACAGTTTGGGGATGAGGTAGAGAAAGGCACTGAAGTTCTCATAGCTAGGAGTCTTGGATTCCTTGCCACAAAAAGACCTTGACATCATTTGCTTTTAAAAGATGAAAGATCTCCACATAATTCCTTTTCGTGTCATAAATTTTGAGGCAGAACTGGTGCATTCTGCATTGCAGTTTCATATTGCTCTTGGGGGCTGACTTTCCTTTGTATGCCCATTTTTTCAAGATTTACAGTTTTTTTTTTTTTGTTAAAAATAGAGTCACATATGCATTTTTGCCAGAACTTCCAGATTTAGTATTTAACATAAGTGTTTGTTTAAGTTGGGACATTTTGATCCTTCTTGTCGTTGTGCTATTTTGATGCAAGATTGATTTGTTACTTTGCACAAGCCCCATTCACAGCCCTGGTGCAAGGTTTTGCACAGAACAAGGAGTTTCACTTGTCACTGGGTTACTTTCTGGCAGGACTGTGAGTTCTCCTTATGACAAGACAAGGCGGGAGGAATTGATTTAGCCCTCACAAGGAAGAGGAGTAACTCGATTGACATTCCTTTGTAATTTAGCAGTCGGTTAATGGCCACTTACTGGAAAATGTTACCAGGCTCTGCGGTGAGTGTTGTTAGAAACTGAATTACTCTGCATATTTCCCCAGAGCCCTTTTTCCCTTCCACTTCAAGAAGACACGCTGAGCTGCAGGAAGTGGTACTGTGTTGCAATCACAGCTTCCTTGCTCCTTTGTATTATTTATTTTGTGTTTCAAAAATAATCGTATTGCATTCAGTGGTGGAAGGGACTTGCCAAGAGCTCAGGGGTGGCATGGGGGTGACTGGGTTATTTTGTTGGGTTGCCTCAGCTTGATGGTGCCCAGAGGCAACTCAGGGGCCAGTGCCAAGCAGTGCTCATTTCACATGCAATTATTGTGTCACCTGAGGTAAATGTCTCTCCATGTCTATGTCTTTACCCATGAGATGATTTCAAACAGCCGGTCACTTCCCTGGTTTGCAAAGCCTTTGATGGGCTAGAGAGATGATGAAAGAAGTGTCTGAGTCAAGACTTGGGTAGAATCCTGACTTTGCCATTTATTAGTTGCTGTGGGCAACTTACCTCTCCAAGCCTACCTGCTAGCAAAGAGGGATACCTGTCCCTACGGAAGAAGGATCAGTGATTTCATGTGAATGGAAGCAGCTAATTCAGTGTCTGAAACATGGTAAACACTTATCAAAAGTTTCTCCCTCTGTATATTGCCAACTTAAAAATGAAACAGCAGCAACAGGCAAATTTGTCAGGGTAGCAGTGTTTGGAACTGAGGGAGTAGAGAAGAAAAAGAGCTTATTTATTAGTTTTCTTTTGGCTTGGAGATATGATCCTATTTTCTTTCTACACAAGGAAGCCAGAAGTGAAAATGTCAGACATAATATAACCATTGGCTGCAAGTCCAGAGGGGCACCCTCTCCCTGTGTCTCACGGACTCAGATGACTTGGTTTTGGTGGAATGGTAGGAAGTATATTACCTTCCAGCTGCATTGACTGTCTTTTTGAGAAGGTTGGTCATCTTCCAGGAGCTCTGGTGGTACAGTGGATAAAGCACTTGACTGCTAACCCAAAGGCTGGTGGTTTGAACTCACAGCCACTTCATATGAGAAAGATGTGACAATCTGCATCTGTAAAGATTTACATCCTTGGGGAAACCCTATGGGGCACTTCTACTCTGTCCTATTGGATTACTGTAAATTGGAATTGACTTGACAGCAGTGGGTTTGAATCTTCTTCCAGGGGATTCCACAGTTGGATGGCCACATCATTCCACTTCTGAGTCATGTTTTCAGCTTCTTGGTCCTGTTAGGGATCTCCATCCTCTCTGAAGTAAATGAAATAATTGTCACCAGCTTCTCACTTAATTACCAGGGTTGCTTCTCCTCTTTCCCCAGCATGATCTGAGGAAGTTTGCTGGGGCACTTGGCACCTTTGCTCCTCAGTGGTGCCAGAGCCTGGATGTTTGAGCTCTGGTGGATTCCTAAGATTTTCCTTCCATGCCCTGGTCTGGAAACCTCCCTGGGCTTAGCCTGCAATAGCACACAGAAGTGGCAGGCTCACCCCAAGCTCTCTTTGGCTGCTCCACACATGACTGGCTCACACTGACATGGCTGTGGTTTGCTTCTCTTCCCTTCTTTCCCCATGTAGAATATAAGAAGAAGTACGGGGAGGAACATGGCTCCTGCCAGGCTGGGATTGCAGGCTTTTTCACCGAGGTGAGTAGTGGCTCTTTGGGCATTTTTGTTATTTGGTTGATGTTCATTTTCTTGCTTGTTGTAATTATAGTAGCTCTTTGAGATAGGACTTTGGTGCCCCAGATACTTGAGCAGTGAGTGAGCAGGGAAAATTCTTTAACTCTGGTGGGGTATCAGCTGGCTAGAGACTATTGTGTGGGAGGGTAGGAGGGTTGGCTAATTTGGAGGATAACCCTCCCATTTTGATGATTTCTATGGGATCAGCTTGACTTTGAGATTCGTGGAAGGAATTGATTAAAAGGGGTGCAGAGTGAAACAACATGAAGTTGTGCCTCATTTTTGGCAGCTGTTACATCTAAAGCATATGAACACTATCGTAGATCATTCCTCTCTCCTTAGTGGGGGACCTGATTTTCCATATGACAAAACCATTCCCTTTCCCACATTCTGAAGGACC